GTGAGATTAATAGACGTAAAATATGCCGATGCATATGATGACGCATTCTTCGTGAATTTTTCATAGAATAAAACCTTGTCCCTGCGTGTGGTTACGTTAAAATGATATTATTGTTTTTTATTAATTTTCTAGGATAAGGGAAATGGAAAAAATGTCACTGTTCGATGAAATCGAGGTACATAGGAATTTATCTCGTCATTTAAAGGTTAAAGGGCTTAAAATACATCTCTGATAATGAGGATTGGACATTCGATGGAATTTAAAACTGCTGGCCTCTCAGTTCCTGTTTGATTTTTGCAAAAAGTCGGATCGCGGTTGCAGTTGAATCGGGAGGATAATGAGGACGGTTAAGTACGGGAACCCCTTTTTCAGCTGGAAAGGTCGTTATGCCCACTGATGTGCGAGCGGGAGCATTGTAGTGCTCGAACCACGACGTAGAAACAAGATTTGCGAAACACGTTCATGAAACACGAAACATCAATTAGTAAATACTTCTTATTGAATGGTGCATATGCAATTTTGATACAGCCATTGTGAATGGTAATCAGGATACATTGTTTCGAGATATGCAGCTGCAAAGAATATTCAACGGTTAATGAAAGAGAACGAAAATTAAAGATTAATAACATAGATCCTATTATCTGTAAATTGATTATTTTATTGGTCCAATCGGTTACGTGACCTAAAAAAAAATGAAAGAATATATTTAGCTTCAAGATTAACTTTTCCCAAGATTACCATTGCAATATTTAAAACGCACAGAACCGAATACAGTGAAAACATTGAATTTGAGAAACTTCCAGAGATCGAAATTGATCACTTCGCGAGACTGAGCAGCGCACGCTGATGGAAAATCTGGAGCCACAGTGATTCAAATGCAGCCTCTTCTCAAACCATTGTAACAAGTGGCAGCAGATCTGCAAGAGTCCCGACCGCTATCCCGATATGACGTCCCGAAGCGACTGCTCCATCAGAAATACAATCAGTCTCGCGGACCCACCAACAAAATCCAAAATTACTCTATCAGCCCAGAAGACCGCATTCCCTGATCAGCCTATAAAAATCCTTTGAGAGGTAAACGATTCGTCAAGCAGCCAACGTGAAACGTTCCCCACGTACCGCGTCCAAAGCCGGAACGACGCAAACGAGAATTTCTAATTAGTGGAACAGATTTGCATGTCTGAGTGCCATGGAAATTGGATTTCGTACAGCGCTGGACCTTTCGGCGTTTCCGCCCGGACGTATTTTTCCTTTTTATTGGCATACTTTCCGCATCGCTGACGATGGTTCGTCGAAGACGGAGCGGAAAGCACGAGGGAGGGCGGCAGAAGCGGAAACGCGGAGCAGAGACACACAGGCGGGCGCAGAGAAATACCGAGCCGAGAAGATATCTACGTATTGATTTCGTCTCGAGCATTAAACTCGAATAGACCGGAACCGGGCGGGCGGGAGGGGTCGTGGGAGGCGAGGGAGGGAGCCGTCCAGGTGAAACCGAGGGAACACGGAGCACTTTGGCCCGCGACTGGCGGGACGCGGCGCACAGTCGCAAATTAAATTGTACTCGAACTCGGCAGCGAGTAGGCCAATGCAATTGCCCCGAGACCGAACTATTATGCAACGCTAATATCGCGTCGCGTTTGCGTCACGTAGCCATTGTTGGCGACGGGACGCTACGGTGTGCGACGCCGCGCCGCGCCGCGCCGCTTTGCAATACGCATCGAACCGACATTTTCCAGCGGAATAATGCGAGAATGGGCGGATCAGGTGGGTTAAACAGAAGCGATTCTTCTTTTTTCCCTCTGTTCTTCCTCGCAATTAATAACGAGGTTGCCGACCATCTTTGATTCTCGTCCCGATTCCATCTCCTCCGTGATCTGCCCCCGTATCTTTGAATCGTTTACTCTTGACTTCGCGGGACGTGTAGCTTCGTGATCGAGTTTGGCGAACTAATGCTTGGATTTTCTAAGTGGGAGTCTGTGTGGTGGCTACTATGACAGAGGGAAATTTAGCGAAACGAAAACAGTAAATGGAGCAGTAGGTTTCTGAGATCAACTGTCTGCTACTGAGATTGTTTCGGAAGATCCACTCTTCTTTGAATCGAACATTTCAACCGTTTGTCATCCTTTACTCTACAGTTACTCGTTTATTCGTGTTCATTCGAGTATCAAAACACGAAAGATTGGTTAAACCCGCTGATAAGTGTGACGAATTCATTTGTGACAGATCAATGACTGTCCGCGCGACGGAGGTACGTAGCACCGAGCATAAAATGGCGTCAGCCGGTTCACCGCGGGCAGCGTAGGCTCGCCGTACCAATTAATCGAGCGGCCCTCGGGCGGGACGTTTTTGCGCGACAGCAGTCTCGACAAATATTTGCGTTGGCCGTTACCCGGCGCAACGAGGAAACGAAAGAACCGAATCACTCGCGGGAGCGTAACGATGGTCCGCGCGCGAAAGAAGCTCGACCGACCGTCCGTCCGGTGGTGCGTTCCCGTTCGAAGGAAGAAGTCTCTTAGGGCGGAAAGTGGAGCAGAGCGGAGCAGGGCGCGTTTCGAGGTGCTCGCGAGCTCGAGACCGGCCCGGGGAGTGCAAAGACGGAGGAACAACGGAGATGACGGGATTAAATGGAAAAGGAAGTAATAACGAGGAGGCTGGCTGGCTCGGAGGAAGCCGTCTCCGTGACCTCTCTTATTTTCTCTATCGTTTTCTTTTTCCTCTCTATCCCCGTTTCTCCTTTTCCTTACTTTTTCCCCGTGACCTCCCTTGCCCTCTTATTTCCTCCATCGTTTCCTTTCTCCCTTCTCCCTCGCCGTCTTACCCTCTTTCGATTTCCTTCTTTTCTCCTTTCAAGCTCGCGCGAAGCGGAGGGGTCGCGACCGAGGGCGATTCGCTTGATGAATTAAACCAGGGGACACATGTCATCGCACGGAAAAATCTGGGATTAGAGGGGACCTGGGCGGAGCAAGCTTTTCTAGAGTAAGAGCGGTGCCTTTTCATTCGACAGCGCGCTCCTCGTCGCGCCGATTCATACAAAAAAGAAGTCCGCGATGTTGGAATGATTTATACGGGAGAATGACGAAGAAGAGGACGTGGGGGGTGATTCGGTTCGAGATCCGGCTTGCATTTTTCGGTGAGGAAGCTGGCAAGCGAGGGAGACAACGGGGGTGAATGAAGAAGTTGAGAAGTATTGAGAAACCGGGTTTCCGGAGTTCCTCGGACGCTGTTGCTAGGGGATCATCTGGGGCATCGGTTTTAGAGGAAATTGCTGTTGACTTCGCGGTCTTTGTTTTATTCGATGCGGCATTTGACGGAACTTGCTTCTATCTGATTCCAATTTCTGTTTGGTGGACAATGAAAATGAATATTTGTACTTGTAAACTATTAATTATTGTTTTCAAAATTACTATCATTATTTATGGAATTTCTGTAACACCATTGTAATCCTCAATTCGAGCCGACTTAACGATTTTTGTTTTATTCGATTTTATTTTATTCGAACACTTGACGAGGTGAACTAGCTTCTATCTGATTCGTATTTCTGTGCATTGGAAGATGGAAATTAATAGTTGCGCTCATAAACTACTAATTATTGTTATCACTATTACCATCGTTATTTATAGAATCTCTGAAGCACTACGTTAATCATTGAGGGTCGAAGTCGAATGGACCATGAGAAAGTTCAGGATCTCCTTTTCAATTAGGGTTTGTGCCGTGGAAGGAAGGATCGATCTAGCCGCGATTTATCTGCCGAGCGAACGCATCGGTGAAAAATTTTGGACGGTTAACAGCAGGGTCGAGATCTGTTTACCGATTCGACGAGCGTATCGGCGCGAAGTGTTGGTACACGCTCGGCGAAGTTATCGCACAGGTGAAAAGCCAGGGGAAAAGGGCGGATCGTTTTATAACCGATTACACGATAGACGGCAGGCACGCCGGGAGGAAAACGTATTCGCGTGGTTTCGCTGTATCGCGATGCTGTAACCGCGTCCGACGCCTACAAGAAAGTTATTAAAGTTCAGTGCTGGCGAACGCGCTCGCCGAAACGCAGTGGACGTTGGGAAAAATGTGAAAGCGGAAAGAAAAACTGTCGTCCCGATGAAATATGCGGCTGTAAATCATCATAATACGGCTAATAGAATCGGAATTAATCAATCGAGATGAAGGACGAGAGAAAATATCTTGTTACTCGCTTTTGACGAGAGCTTAAGCATCGTTCATGTTATTTCCCGTACTTTATTCCTTTTTATTCTACCCGCTTCTTCTATCAAGCAGACTTTTCAATGTATTTTTGTTTGATGAGTTACAGCGATAATGCGAGCTTAAATTACGGGATACTTTAAAAGGCTAAGTGAACGTGTAATCGGATTCAATCTACGCGAAAGGGTTTTAATTCATTCATCAAAGCTTTCGGATCTCAAAGGCCGAATGTATTAAGTGAAACTAGCTTCTCGTTTGAAAAACACATTCTCTCTTCGACCACTTCAACTTTCTAACATTGCGAAACTATGCGAACATTGAAACTAAATTAATAAAGTTCGAGAATCAACCATATTCGATGGCAGAAGAAGCTTCTCCGCGACTCGGGAATAATGACCCGCAAAGTGGTAAACAACCAAGAACCCCTCCCCACTACCGCCACCGAAAACATGCCACGCCCTAACATCCGGACCAATACGAACGGCGCTAACCTCGCCGCGAACCCCACCGAAACACCTCGAAGATTTTCGGGAAACAGTTCTAGGTGTACAAAAACCGTAGTCATCATCGATCTCGAGTAGCTCATCGACCGGTGCATGTGAATGGAACCTTAGGTTCCCCGGCAGCAGCACCTGGTTGTGAACGCGCCAAAGCCGGGCAGACGGTCTGTTCTGTCAATCCCCACCGTGCCAGCTACCGGAGCTCCTCCAATGCACCACTACCACCACCAGCTTCGCCTCTATCACCAGCACCACCGCCACGCCACCACCACGACGGGGAACATCGAGTGTTCCGCACCGTCACCACCACCACAGTATCCTCCACCACTACCTTGTCGGGCTCCACCACCATCATCATCGGGCCACTACCATGGAAACCGACGAATGCGCATTCTGACTTCAGTCCAGCCGTCGGTTTCAACCTGCCAAGTCGCGCAGGTGTCGGCGAACGGTTGTCGGCGTCCACGGACGGGTTCCGCGGATATTCCCATCGCGGGTACGGTACAAAGCGAGCGATAGGTGCAACGAAGTATCTCTCGCACTGGGTTCCTCTCGTTCGTCTCGGGATCGGTGGGTCCCAAAGGACGATTCCGACCAGCGGGTCGCTGGATCGCCGTTCCGCCGCGTGGGAAATAAAGGGTTGCGCCCGGTACTAGCCGAGGATCACGGCGGGAAAACGGGCGAGTGTTAAAAACCCGTGTCGCCGCAGGAGGGCTGCGATTTATGGAACCGCCCCATGGATAGTAACATGTCGACTGCCGCCTTCATGCACCGGTATGGGAACACAAGCTTTTTTAGAT